CTCAAAAAACCTCAATTTCAGGTCAAAACTACGTCGTTTTGAGCTGATGGAGGAAGAGTTCGAGAGGAAGCCGATTGAGGTTAAGGCTACTGAAGCTTTGGGTTGTGGATTCGATTTTGCGAGCGATTTCAGGTTGAAGTTCGTAAAAAAATGCTCAAACGGGGGTAGGTTGGTAATTTTGGACGAGATGAACAGGCGCAACGTTGTTGTTCCTGGTGGCGTTACCATTCCTGATGTTTCTGAAAATATAAGATGTGATAAAGGAGACCATATTCGGTTTAAATCCGATGTTCTTGAATTTAATCAGGTTTGCCTTTTTTACCTTCCTTTTTAATGATTATTTACTTGGTTTGAATTTATTTTTTTATGTGTTTTTTGAATTTTGTTTAAGAGCTTAAATTCTGTGGATTGATGGAGTAAAACATACTTAAACAATCAGGTTACTTGTAAGGTAATTGCAGGTAACAAGTTAAATGAAGCTGAGTTAAATTATGATGATAGTCTAAAATAAGTATATAACTTAAATCCTTTGTTTAATTGTATGATCCGGATTAATGCAGTTCCTATGTGAATTAACTATGTAGTTTAATTGAATGTAGTGGAGGGGATAATCGGGGGAGATTTTTTTTTTTGAGAATTTTATGATGGAAAGTGGAGGTTTTTAATCAAGTTCAACTTTTTAGACAAATTATGTTACTCCTATAATAATCTTTTAATTTATTAAATGATTTTCTCAATTGTGTTCTAGAATTTTCTTCGAAGTGTGCTAGGATTGATTCTAAGAAGTGAAGTGTCCTCAGTGTACGTTATATATGATAGTAGATTCAGGAACTTTTAAATGAGCTAGTAGAGTAAGATTAAATTGGCGATTGAAAAGATTGGCCTAATGAGTGGTATAAGAAGAGAACTTCTTGCGCTGATCAATGCAATTTTTATAACGATGGTGTCTGCGTCAGCTTGCACGCACCTCGACTATCACACCAGATATGAGTTTTTCATATGGATTTGAGGGTTTCTATGCAGTAAGGATGCGCACCTCTCGTGCGATTATTAGTTAACTTGCTCAGGAAATGGAGGATAAAACAAAAGAAAAAGAATATGTTTGACCATTTGAAATTGCTTGAAAGAAATATGGTAGGTTTACAGAAGATTTAAGATGCAGGAAGTTATGATGTTATTGTTTAAGGTTAAGCATGCTTGCCAAGCCTAACTTTCTCATCCATTGTTTTAAATTTTGTGTAGCAGCATTTAAACAAAAACAGAGCATCAAGCTTCTTGAATTCTAAAATATCACGTAAATTTCCGTAAAGTACTAATATAAACCTATAAGAAGGGAAGTAAAACTTTAGAGAAGTTTGAACAAGACCTGTTAAAGGCATAAAAGCCATAGTTTTCTTGCTGCATTTTAAACCGAATAAGAGAAGAAAATAATCTGAGTGATCCTTTAGTGTTTTTTGTTATGTTATTGGCTGTCTCCTTAGCTCTAAATCTTCCTTACATCTTTATTGCAGATGTCAGAATTGCTTAATCAAAAATCGTCGGTACATGGAAAGGTTCCATCAGGCTATCTAAATGCCATGTTTGATTTAAGTGGAGCCTGGTTGAATGATTCAGCAGATGCTAAATACCTTGCTTTTGATGGTTATTTTGTCTCCTTATACTATTTGCACCTGACGGCATCCCCTTTAGTACTCCAAGACCAAGTAAAGAAGGCTGTTCCACCGCATTGGGATCCGGCATCCTTGTCCAGGTAGCTTCTCCATTCCACTCAGTCCGCTTTTGCCTTAATTGGATGAGTAGCTGTTTGTGAGTTCTAACTGGCAAAGCACAACTTTTTAAATATCGTCATATGTGTGTTAACTGATATGTTAAGGACCCCCTTTCCTTTTTCTTCAAGTACTAATGCAACCTTTTTCTTCAAGTACTAATGTATTTAAGAATAGCCGCTGCCAACTTGCTTGGGTTTGAGGGGTTGTACTAGTACTTAAGTATCTGCATGATAGTGTTTAGAGATGCATTCATGTTTTCATTTGGTAGTCTTGTTGCATGTTTCTAATTTGACAGTTCTTAGCAGA